CATCTCCCAATAGGGATATTTTGAGGGGCCAACTTCGGGGTAGAGACTTCAATAGAGGCAGGAGAAACCTCCATTTTCTTGGGAAATATAGGAATGAAAAGAGAAGTCTGCTTTGTGCAATAATTCATCATTTCTGTCATGAGGGAAGACTAAGAGCTCCTACTGAGAGTCTGCTCTCAGATGAGAATCTTCAAAGAACTTGAATTAATTTTCCCTTCCCAGTTGGTATGATCCTTGAGTGAGACTCCTCAAAGTACCAGCATTGTTCAGCCTAAGGAGGCTGATAGTCCCTGTCCTACAAAAAGACAAGGCCAGAGTAAGGAGGAGGCAGAATGTGGAGCCAGAGCAGAGGCCATCTCCTTTTGCATTGGTTTGGAGAAACAGCAAAGCTCTCTAAGGATGGATGCTATCATTATTATTTGGTTTTGCTGTTGGGGGTGAGAAGATTAATGAGGACTCCGTCTCGTCCAGTCCACTCCACATTCTGTCCACCCTCTGCTGCCAAATCCAGAGCATACATTCCTTTTTAGCCCACACCCTTTTATTTCAATAAGAATCAATAAAACACAATGAAGAAATGGAGAGACATCTGATCCTCTTTTACTATTTAACCTTAAAAGAGCTGTTTCTACCAAAACTAATGGCATAGCTCTTTGGTCAATGGTGGCACTTCTTGGATAAAGAAATTGCAATCTTGTATTTAACGTGTGTTCTGAAAAGTATGGACACTGAGTAGAAACTTACTGGGCAAGAAAGATCATGCGAAACTCTCTTTCGGGTTCTCCACCACATCCTGCCCACTCATGGTTTTCTGTACTCCCACCCCAATACCACTATCACCTCATCTATGAAATTAAATATCATGCTAGAGCTGGAAGGGACCTTCAAGAGAACCTACTTCAACCCTGTCATTTTACAAATTTGCAGACAGAGGGCCAGAATAGTTAAGAGATTTATCCAAGGTCATAGAGATAAGCACCAGCAAGCCAAGACCTGACCCCAGCTCACATGAGTTTGCTGCTTTCATACCATGCTCTTCCTTAGAAAGTGTGGTGCAGATGCCAGCTGGTTTCTCCTAAGCCAGCCTGGAGTCCAGACATCAAATTGTGGTCAGCTTTCTCTGGCTGCCTGAGAGAAGGCAGGATATTGACTAGAAAATTTTCATAAGCTGATGTCATCCTGATTTTGAGCCAAAGTTTAATTAAATGCTTTTTGTTGTTGTTGTTGTTATAGTCTTAGTGCAGTAGAAAGATCTAGAATAACTCATTTCTTTTTCTCTCAGTTTCTTTATCTTTAAAAAGAGGAATTTGGGTTGAATTGTCATTAAGGTCCATTTAAGTTTAAACTTGCTATGGTTCCTTTAAGATCATTGCTGAAGTTTACTTCCCCTTCCCTGCCCCCCACCCCAGCAGTTATATTTAAGAAATGGGGTCTTTAGTTCATAATCTTCCATCAATCCTCAACTGGGAGAAATGTAGCTTGATTCTGATCTACTCTGGAATATTGTCATACCCTCCTGAACTTTCAGGGTGGCTCAGCTCCTTAGGAGAACCTTGAGCCAAGGCTGTAAAGAAACTGTGGGCAGAACAGCCAGCCCTTTGACCATTCATAGGAATTACCCAGCTTCCCAAATGTGGGCCTTGGCTGAAAGCTATGCCAACTTCTCTCTAGTGGCCTCAAGGGATGGAAAACTGAAAAAAACGTGCCTGGTTTGGCACACCCTGGGGGATAGCTCAAGGTAGATTTGTTAGTGAGTCTGTCCACTCCTTCTGTGGAGGATATTACCTGCTCTCTGGTGCCTCACCCTGTTCCTCACCCAACCCTGGACAGCAGGGGAGAACTTTAGGAACGTGCTCTTAGTCTATCTTTAAATATAGATGTTGACTTCCTTTAGTATAAATTCTCCAAATTTGTTAGCCAAAATTAAAGAGAGCCACACATATTGAATTTTCTTCAGTAAAAACAAACAAACACAAACAAACCCACAAAAAACGGCCAGTTCTCAGTGGTATGGAGGAAATGGTGATTTTGAGAATGTTGTCTTGCCCTGTGTTCTGACTGTACAGCATCAGAGGCAACATTTCAGGGTATTATCTCTCTGGCTTTCCCCAGTCCTATACGTTCATTGATATCAAGTCCTATCCAATGATAAAATGTTCTCTGGAATGGCCATGAATGTATAATCAGTAACACATAGTTTAATTATTTTCTCTCTCCTGCTGTACTGAAAGTTTCTTCAGAGCAGGGGAATGTCTTCTGCTTTTGGTCTATCTGGTGGCCTCTATGTGATAATTTGTGCTTAATACATGAGAGCATAATGGTTGAGCAGTGGGGTCAGTTTCTCCTGGAATAAGCCCAGTCATTTTATAGTCTTCATCTATAGATGTATGGACATCTTTCAGGTTACACATATCCAGGCCTTTCTGGTGCTGCATTTTACTCCTGGTGAGCATCAAAAGTCTGAAACAAAAACTCATGGATGCCAGGATCCCACCACAGACCTATACAATGAAAACCTCCAGGGGACAAAGTCTGGGCATCCATATATATATTTTTTTTAAACATTTTCTGAGTGAAGTGTACAACTATGGTTGACAAAGCCTGCCTCATGACATACAAAGGTCACCCCTTTATGGAATTGTGCCACCAAAGGCTTCCCAAGGACAGGTGGCACTCACCCAACCAACAAAGGAAAACCACCAATCATCATAGCAGGACAGTGCTGGGTTTAAGCTTGGATGACCACAAGCAGCTGATATTTTAAGAGCAGGACAGCCTAGGGTTAAATACATTTGAAATAGGGATTCTTCAGTTGAAAACATTTTTTAAAGCCTCACATATAATGACTTTGGGGAGTGAGGACAGAAGAGAGAGGGGAAGCTTATCCCGAGAAGTAGAGAGGCAGAAAGCAAAGCTAAGATCACAGTAGGTGGCCGTCTACAGAGGAGTGTGATTTCTAAGGCCCCCCTCAAAATTCCATCATGAGAAACTCATTCCTTTGGCTTAAAACTTGTCTCCTATTAAAATGGAAATACCTGTGAATCACTCTGTCTGGGTTCATCATATACTTACCTAAGAACACGTTGTGATGAGGTGTGAGGAAAGATCTGGAAAAAGTGGGTGGAAGGTTGAGGCTCTATTGCCAAAAGAGGAAACACACTGAGCAAGGCACCCTGCAGTCCATGGATGCTGGGCAAATGTGGCCAATTCCATTTGTTCTCATTTAAGAGAAAACTGCTCAAAAGGGAGGTGTACTGTTAAAAATTCTATACTTTCCCCCTGACGATCCTCCTGAGGCACTCCTTGGCTTGCCTTGCCTGTGCTGCTAGCTTTTGAATGGAGAAGAAAGCAATAGGGAAGCAGCCTCACCCCCAGGGAGATGGCCTCGTGGTCTAGGCTGGCCCCAGAGTGAGGGCTCTGAGATCCAGCCTGAGGATTTTCCTCCTACTCTCTGTGTGGCCTGCAGCCAGTCTCCAAACAGCTTTAGTTTCCTTATATGTCAGACCAAGATAAATACCAAACTCCTCCCCTCCCTGGGGTATTGTAAGGTTTCATGGTTGCCCCTGTCGTTAGCACATGTCCAAAGACCCTACGAAGAATGCTTTTGAGAAGTTTTAATGACTAAGTTTTACTATTAGCATTATCTTTATGATATTGGAATTTATGTAGCATTAGGAGGAGAGGAGCATGCGCGGGCAGTGGGAAAACGGAGAACACATCTTCCCTCAGAAGAGCAGTGTTTGTAGTGGAAGAGAAATACAGAAGGGCTTTGGGGTTGAGGTGTGAGGGAGAAAAGTCTACAATTGGTACCAGATGCCATCAGAAGCTAACGACCTGACAAACACCGCCCTCATAAAACAAATTCCTTAAAAAGGAAGCACATGGAAATATAAGCTAGTGAAGGAATCTGCAGCAGCTGCCCTAAAACCATTTCTCACTTCATAAACAGGTCTGGGTTTGGTGGTTTATATTTTTTTGGTCTTGGTTTTATTTCGTGTCACTTTCCCCTTGGTCTGTACTCCCCTGTCTTACTCTTCCTCCCTTTGGCCAATGCTGGACAGACTTTGCCCACTGGTAGTTATAGCAACTGTAGTTAATGGAACCCCATTCTCGTGGAAGGAAGCTCATTCACAGGGTTTGTTTTGTGTTGTATCTCAGCACCGATTTGTCCTCAATGATGACATGGCATAATTGGATGGAGTTGTTGAAAAATAGCATGTGCTATTTCACATTAATTTCTTGGCAGAAACTGACATGAACCACAACCATTAATGACTCTGTTTTCCAGGACTTTACACTTAACACATTGAAGAAATATGTTTTGTAGACATCAGGGCATGTAGCATCTATGGAACTTAGAGTTTTTTAGCATTACTAATGAGGTGTTCTGATCTGGCTCCATGGACAGTCAGGTTTCAGATACCTTATCCTGAGAGGTTGAATAGAGACTCAGAGACAAAGATGTATTTCTTGTACTGCATATGCAATTAACTCCTGACAATTAACCCCTTCCCCCAACTAATTTAGTTTTCCCTCTGTTGGGGATCCATGGAGTGTATAAGGTATACCACAACATTGCAGAGAATAGCCAGGGCTTAAAGGCTTTCTCTACATCATACAACTCCAATCCCTTCACCCTATACTTAAAAAGTATAGGTAATAGAAGTGAGAATGTGACTGCCATATAATTTCAGTCCCATGGGCATAGCATTATAAGCAGCAACTTTAGCACGTTCAGATCAAATTCATCTCTTTTGGACCAGTGCTTTTAAAATTAATTCTCAGTTATTTCAAGGCATTATGTGCATAGTCGAAGACATTTTTTCCACCTTCTTAAAAAAATCACTGAACACTAACACAGTTTAGGGAAAAATAAAGCAAATTGATGATGATGAAATTCACTGTAGTAATTTTGGCTAATATTTAGCATCACTGCCAACAGCACCAAGAGCAAGAAAATATCTTGCTATTCTAAGATGCTTCTCTTTCTGTCACCTCAGCTGTGTCCACCGGCCCTGTGGGGAGCAGAGCAGCTGTGCGCCACTGCTGTTGGAGCACACGGATGTGGTGAACTGTACCGCTTTGGGGCCAAGTCACATGAAGTGCGCTATCACCTGCCAAAGGGGGTTTGTCCTTCAGGCCAGCAGTGGACAGTACCTCAAGCCCATGCAGGTGAGTTGGAACCTGTGGTCATCAGGACTGAATTCCTGGGGAGAGAAGGTCTTCATCTTCCTCTCTCTGGCCCCATCAAGGAAGGGCAGGTGCTTATTGATCTGATGAAAGAAAAAATGAGGACTCCAGCAAGCCAGGTGAAGCAAGGCTTTACAGCAATGCAGGTGTCTAAGAGACAGTGCTGTTCCCATACCCGGGTGTCAGTTTCTCTCCAGATGGGCAGTAGGTAGGAATGCCTGTTCCATTCTTCTCCCTCTTTTTTGGCCTTCAAAATGAGTTGCCATAGTTGAGCCTTGTCCACAGTATGCAGGCAAGCTGGGGGCAGCCACCTATGGTCCATGGTTTGACCCCCAGTCCTCTTACAAGAAGGCTGGAGAAAAAGAGCTGACTTCTTTCCCTCAGTTCCTGGGGTGGGGATTATGTCATGATTCTAGCCTTGTCGGAATTGTCCAAATTTCTACCACATCACCCTTTCCAGGATTTCAAGGTGACTTGGAGGTAAGAGCATAGCTTGGGAGACAGATCTGGAATGAAATTTTGGCACCATTGTTTAATAGATGTGTAATTTCAAATAAAAACAACAAACAAAAGGAACCTTTTTAAGTTTGTCCTCACATTTTAAAAATAATTAGAACAGAAGATTTTATGTCATTTTGTTATTATGATGACTGATTGGAAATAGTTTTAAGGCTGCTAGCAGAATGATAGGTACAGAGCACTCCAGTAAACTACCATTATTATGAGCATGATGCTATCTTCTCAATGAAAAATGTTATTTTCTACTTTTTCTTTATAAAGCTTTTGGTATGCTGCAGAGAAATTTAAACTTGAAATCAACCATTAAGGCATAACCATAATATGAGATGGTGAAAGGAGGCAGTAGGCCAAAGATAGTGCCCTAAGAGAGACCCGGAGAGATGCTGTGTGAGGAGCAAAGGGTGGGAGTGTGTTGGGCAGTCAGATTTCAGTGGTTTGGAAGAAAGGACTTTTTGTTTTTATTTTGTACCAGTTGATTGCCACCAGGTTATGGGTCAATGGAAAATTCACTTGCTTAGGGACAGTCAGAATTTAGAGACATAGTCATTGGCTTCAGGTGGTTTAGGATCTGCTTAGAGAGAAAGAGGTTCAATATATCTTGAGACTATCCTTGGTCTATGATGCCTTGGTGATATGATGTTCTTATCACCCACCCATTCTTTTATTTTCTTTTATTGATTTTTTTACAGAGAGAAAGGGAGAGAGATAGAGAGCTAGAAACATCGATGAGAGAGAAACATCAACCAGCTGCCTCTTGCACACCCACTACCAGGGATGTGCTCACAACCAATGTACATGCCCTTGACCGGAATCGAACCTGGGACCTTTTAGTCCGCAGACCGACGCTCTACCACTGAGCCAAACCGGCTTCGGCATTACCCACCCATTCTTAACCCAGCTTAACTTGATCTAGAAAAGAGAAAAAATGAACAATAATAACAAAATGAATTTAAGGATTGGATACATTTTTGTGATAGGTAAGGAAGGGGAAGAAGAGAAGACAGGCTTTGCAAGTTATTAAAATTAAGAGCAAATTCAAAACAAACATAGACAGTACTTAATGAAGCCAGGAGAAAAACCAGGCAATATATGCAGAGTTTGGGAGGTATTCTTTGAGTGATCATTGTCATTTGAGCCAGGCATCCAGGTTGTAGTGTGTGTGGGACAGCATCTGGGTTGGGAGCTTGCCTTTCACTAAGCATATGGTGGAGTCAGCTCTCCAGCCAGAACCCCTCTCCCCCCTGCACACACACACACAGACTGGCCCCACTGTGGAAATTATACAATCCCGGCTCGTGATCACAAGACAGTGGGGATATTTGCTTTTTGTTGACACAAGAACTGAAACTAAACAGAAAAATGTGTCTGGCTTTGAATTGGGTCCTCCTGGCAGGCAACAGGGAAACATTGGGAAGCAGGGCGGAGCTGGTAGCCAAGAGTGGGTGTCAGGGGTGACAGGTGCTTTCACTAGTCATTTTACCTTTGGCTTTGGTCACCGTGGGCTCCTGGCTGATTCCCAAAATCATGCCTCCCTCTCGCTCTCTTTAGCCTTTGGTAACCCTTTGGCTAGAGTGTCAGCTGTGTGTTTTCCAAAACATGCCCTGAGCTCCCAGGTCTCTCAGGCCCTGTTCAGTCTGTTCCCCTCACTCTAAACACTTTTTTCTCTTCTCCCTCTCCCCCTCTGCTGCTGGGAAGTCCAGCTCATTACTCAAAGGTCAATTCCTGTGTCACCTCCCTCAGCACAAGGATGGGCAGTCCCCCCTCATACCCCTTTGTGCTGCCTCACCACCATAGAAAAGGTCCATATCTGACATCGCTGTTGTTTTTATATATGTTCTTTCTATCTGGTCCCCATTTTCTACTTCTTTCATTGTTTGCATTCTTTGGATTATATTCTCTCGATTCATCTTAGAAGGGAGTAGGATATAACCAATAAAAGTGTATCTCTCCATTTTCCTTCTGTACTCCTTCCTTCTCCTTCTTTCCACTCTTTCTCCTTCAGGTGTTTTCTGAGCCACTGGACCAACCTATGATTTGCTCTGCTGGTAGATTTTGATCCTTGAGGGTGTTTTTACCCAAATCTAGTACAGAGCCTGGCCTTCCAGGTGCTCAGTCAGTGTCTCTTTCTTCATTAACTTGGGGATGATAAACTCTAGGGCTACCCTACAGAGCCGATGCCCAAGGAGAGGGCTGGAACCTTTGAAGTTGAACCACAAGGTTTGGAAAGTGCCTGATAGGAATTATCAGAGAAGTGTCCTGATAATATTAATTCTCAACTGTCCTTAGATATTGTGCCCCATCCTCAACTGAGATGACAATGTTCAATAGCTTTATCAGTTGCTTTATCAGTAAGGGTCCCAGCAGGAAACAGATGACATGCTCAAAAGTGGGCAATTTCAGAGGATTTAAGAAAGGGACTACTTGCAAAGGTAGCAGCAGGGTATAGGAAAAGTACAGAGGGTTGGGGCAGTCTCCCACGGGGAAATAGCTGTTAGCACTCAAGGCCTGAAAGGTTGACTGTAGGGAGCAGTTAGAGACCCCGCAGGAAGAGAGCACAGGAGCGGTACAGAGAGGGCTGCTGAAGGGTGGAGCAAAACTGCAGTAACCTTCTAGGGAGGGAGAAGGAGAATCAGCACCTTGACCTCTCTTTCCCTCCCCCCTTGCTAATCTTCAGCCACTGTGTCCTGGTCAGAGGCCTGAGATACACAAGGGCCAGTATCCCTGGGCACCAAGCAGGTTGGGGAGGGTGGAGAGTGGAGCAGGAGACATACGTGGACATAGCTGGCCTGGCAGAAGATCCCCATTCAGTGGTTCTGTTATACAAATAGGTGCCTTCCATCAGTATCAGGTTGGGAGGCTGTATGTCAATACAAAGAGGGAGAAAGACAAAACAATTTGTACCCGTTTTGAATGTCTGCACAAATAATTACCAGGAAGATTTTTTTGATAAATGTTTTGATGTGACCTTGACTGAGGAAAATTCTCTGTTTCTAGAAGGACATTCTGCTCACGTGCTCCTCAGGGCACTGGGACCGGGCAGTGAGGTGTATGCCCCTTGATTGTGGCTTTCCCGACCCAGCTCTGGTGAATTACGCAACCTTCTCCTGCCCAGAGGGAACCAGCTTTCTACAACGTTGCTCCATCTCCTGTGTCCCACCAGCTAAGCTTCAAGGTATTGTTCAGCCGACCAGCCCTGTGTGCAGGGTCCCTTTAATCCCTCTCTCCTTTGAGGGAACTTTGAGAATATTTCCTTCACCCCAATCCTCTTCCCATGTGCTCTGCTGGACCACCTTCTTCTAACAACACCAACAAAGGCAACATCACTCTTTCCAACGACCAGGAAGGATCCCTGGCTCAGGATCTCTAAGGCGTTCTTCTGTTTTTATTTGATTGTATGTCCTCTGGAGTCAAGCCAACTAGCAGTGTCCTGATAAAATTAAGGAGAAAGCTACACTTTTTCATGCACATTTTAAAATTTAATATTTACACCCATCCTATGAGGGTGATGCTTTTAGTTCTGGTTCATAAATGAGAATTCAGTTATAAGGTTGTTCTACTGCCAGTCACAGATGAAGGGGAGGAAAACCGGCTCTAACTGACTACACACCTTCTCCTTACCTCTTCCTACACTTCCCTGTGCCTAACAATGGCTTGTTATAAATACAGCTCCCTGAGCCCCATGCTCACAGGTTCTGATGTAGAAGGTCAGGTGTGGGCTGGTGATGGGACCATGAGAAGTTCATGGATTGCAACTTGGAGAAACCATGCCTTCCAGTAGGCACATGGTGTGGTGTTTAAGCACAGAACTCTACAGCCAAACTGCCTGAGTTCAGTCCCTGCCTGTGTCTCTTACTAGTTCGAGCAAGTTACCTAAACCCAATTTCCTCATCCCTAAATTAGGGGATAATAGATCAATTTCATAGGTTTTTTGAGGTTTGAAGTTTACATAAATTCTTACATGTAAAATGATTACAGCAATGACAGGCTTATAATAAGCACTATAGGAAGGTAATCCATTATTATAATGCTTCCCATGATACTGTCAGGGAATACTTACCTGACCTCTATTCTGTATAATAGGTCACATTGGATGTTCTGTGGGTAATAAATATAGGAGAAACATTTGTCCCAAGTTTTCGGAGAAGTTGCCCAACAAAGAATAATGTCCTTTCCAAGAATGCCAAATACATTGACAGGTTTCAGTTCTTTCTGCTGTGGTATTTTTGCACTCTCTGTTCTGAGCACCTTTACTTCTCTTTCCTGGAGTTAGGACTGAGCCCATGGCTGACCTGCCTTGAGGATGGGCTCTGGTCTCTCCCTGAAGCCTACTGCAAGTTGGAGTGTAACACTCCCCCTGCGATCCCCAATGCCAACCTGCTCCTGCCACACTGCCTCCAGGGCCACCATGACGTGGGCTCCACCTGCAGATATGAATGCAAACCTGGCTACTACGTGGAGGAAAGTGCAGAGAGTAAAGTCAGGAAGTAAGTTGGATTGCCTCTGGTCTTCAAAGTTCTTTCTACCCCATACCTTGCTCCTATTCCCTCCCGTAAATCCCAGACCATCGTTTTGGGAGTACGTAGTAGTAAGAGCTTCTGAGTTTTCCAGTGCTTATTTTATTTGTTTGTGTAATTATGACAGGCAGGTTGACCAGGTGTGCTTTCTGAGGATCTATTCTTTCCCTTAGGAGATCCCATAGAGTTTCACCTGGGTGCTTTAAAAAAAAAAAAAAAAAATATATATATATATATATATATATATATATATATATATATATTGAATCAATATATATATATATATTGATTCCAGAGAGGAAGAGAAAAAGAGAGATAAAAACATCAGTGATGAGAGAGACCATCAATTGACTGCCTCCTATACACTGGGGATTGAGCCCACAACCTGGGCATGTGTCCTTGGCTGAAATCAAAGCCAGAACCCTTCAGTCCACAGGCCAACGCTCTGTCCACTGAGCCAAACCTGCCAGGGCCACCTGGGAGCTTTATGAAAAGAATCTCTGCCCTGATGATCAATTTCCTTTAAAGTAAGTGTTAGGAGCTTCCCAAGTGTCATTCTATGTGTGGGAAGGTCCTCATCAGGACAGTCAGGACTTACAGTTGAGACTCTGAGAGAAACTGCCTGGCCACTCCCCAGTTTAGATACTTATTTGCTGTGTGATGCAGGGAAGTTTTTGTTTTTGTTTATATGCCTCAGTCTTTCTCCTCTATAAAATGAAGATAGAAGTAATAATATCTATCTGGGGACTAGATTAATATGTATAAAACATAAGGTTCAGTAAATTTATTTTTAGAGCGTAAAACTCAATACATATTAGTATTAATTGGGGAAATTGTGCCAATGAATGCCCCTTGTGTGCTCCCGCCTGGGGTGGAGGTACAGGATCGGGCAGAAATCTCACAGTTCTGGGGGGGAGTCTTATTGGGCTGTTACTATTGTCATTATAGCCTCTTTGCTTTTTTCTTCCTGGGCCCTTGTGAACACACTCTGAGACATAAGATCTAGCGCCTGTCTTCTGACAGCATGGCAACCTAACACAGAAGCTCCTGGCATGGTGAAGAGGGAGACAGTCATGCTGGAGCTCATGTCCCAGTCACCCCCCCCCCCCACCTCCCTCCTTTTTTTTTTTTAGCTGACCAAACCCAGTGGAGTTACTTAACTTTCTTTGTAAGTTGAGTATACTGCCCACATTACAGTGTTGGGTTAGGATAAAAAGAGATAGCACATGTCCAGCCCAATACCTGCCTTGTGCCAATTGCTCAATAAATGATTTCAGAAAAAGAACTGTTTTCTTAGCAGAACACTTTCAGAAAAAGAAACTCCTTGTACTCAATAAATAGTAGCTATGCTTTCGCTACTATAAATTAAGAAATTAAAATTTATTTCTTACACAGAGCTTTATTAGAAGTCTGACTATAGTAAGATATTTTTTCAAAGTTTTATTTATTTTTTATTTTTTTTAGAGAGCAGAAGGGAAGAAAGGAGGGGAGGAGAGGGGGAAAGAAAAACATCAATGTGAGAGAGACACAGTGATTGATTGCCTCCTTCATGCTCCCTGACCTGGCCCAGGGATCAAACCTGCCACTCAGATATATGTCCTTGACTAGGAATCAAATCTGTGACCCTTCAGTGTGTGGGCTTATGCTTTAACCACTGAGCACACTGGCCAAGGCAATACCCAGCCTTCTTAATGTGGGATGGATTTTCCAGGGCAGGACGATCCCAGATCAGACTCACCTATGAGAGGTGGAGAAGCAATCCCATTCCTTGTCCTCCCAGTTTGAGGAGGCAAGAGCCAGGTTGAATAGAATATGAGTAATTCTGATGAAAAATTTATAGGCAGCAGCATTCTGGTTCAGTGGATTCTGGCAGGTATAGTCAACATGAAAAATACATTTGCATATGATTTTCATAGGATCTGGGTCAATTTTCATAGGCACATGTTGACAGGCAGTGAGTGCCCTGGTCACTCTCCAGCGAGGATGGTATCACAGGGAGTTGAGGCTGCTTCCTCTCATCTCTCCTTTCCTTCATTTTCACATACTTGCACCCCACTCAGGTGTCTGCAGGGCAGTGCAGTGAAGAATAATTGAGGGGGAGAGAAAAGTCTCAGGTCCAAGAAAATCTAAGGGTGGCAGGATTGTTTCTAGCTCTTGGGCCCAATGAGACTCCCCCCAGAACTGTGGGATTTCTGCCCGACCCTGCATCTCCACCCCAGGCAGGAGCACACAAGGGGCATTCATTGGCACAATTTCTTCAATTAATCGAGAAACTGGAAGCTTACATCACAGCGTCGGCGTCGTTTTTTGGCTTAAATATTTACATTTGCAAGTGCCGCAAGGGTTGTGTTGGGGAGAAATTAAGTTATTTACCGCCCCGTGTAAACTGGTTTAAATCTTTGTTTATACCTGTTTACATAGCAGGCGGCTGGTTGGTAATCAGAAGTTTGCAGGTTGAACGTAAATCACTGTCACTTGCCACTTGTGTTTACACAACGAACTGTGTCAGCCTTGTTTCTTGCTTGGTGGAAAGAGCCCAGAGTTGTATAAATGGGGCCCTCAGCTTCTTTCTAGTGCATGTGGGCATGAGGAGAAGAAACTGAGAAAAGCAGGCAGGGAAATCAATCCAGACCCAGTGGCACATGCTGATTTGATGCAGGTCTGTGAGCACTGGAAACTCCCACCTGATGGTCAGATTTGCAACTTGCTGTTTGCATGATCCTGAACCATGTTCTTAATTCCCCCATGTCTCAACGCTTGCATCCACAGTGTGAGGCATAGTAATTATTTCTATCCAACAGTGTTGTTTTGAGGCTGAAAGTGGATAATGTCCTGAGAATATTTCATAAACTATGAGGTTTAATTTATATCCTGGGTATTACTTTTTGTTAATTTATTTTTCAAAATAGAAAACAATGGCCCAAATATCAGCCAGGTTCCTTCGCTTTCTGGTTTTCCTCAAGCCTATTGAACATTGTTTTAAGAGAAAAGAAGTCTAAGTACTGGATCTGACTTCTCCTTTCATCCAATCTGTTTAAGCTTCATTCCATTCCACATGAGGGCTGTCCAATGGCCCAGCTGCAGCTGGCAGTCCTACCTGCATGCTCTGTGCCTGTCAATGGGTTGGGAGTGAAGATCTCATATGAATAAGACCTAGCTCCCAGCCTCAAGGAGCACACAGCCTCCATGTTCCCTTGCTCATGGGCATTATTTCTCCTAGAAACAGCGTGAAAGGGGACATGGGTATAGGTAGGGGTTTTCTCCTGACCCCGTATTTCTTGCCCTTCTTCCTGCAATTTGAGGGTGGTGCTGCCCACACTCAGCCTAATTCCTGAGATCAAGGAGATGATATGGCTCAATCCTGGGTCAAGTACTCTGACCTTAAAGTCATGAGTGGAGTCAGCATCACCCAAAAACCATGGATTCCCCAGAGGAAAATTGAAGAAGGTATAAGTAATATTGAAGGGCAGAAAAAATTAATAAAGCAAAATTAAATGGCCATTATATAGTGCAGCCATATGATGGTACAGCCATATTATGAAATATCCTGCTACAATTAACGATGTTTGGAAGAATATTGAAAACGTTCACTATACAGTCAACACTAAGTAGGAAAATGCAAGAAAGTGATTATTATAAATGGCACGATTCCTATTTTTCATATGAGAAGTACATTTTTATCACCTTTTTTGTGGGATTTTGACTTTCCTTAGAAAATCCAGAATAATGCTTGTCTCTTTTAAAAATTAGTGAAACAGCATTTTTTGCATAGTGTATTTTTGCAAGTTTCTTTAAGGCTTAGATATTTTTGGAGATAATAGAGGAACAAACAGAATTGTAACTCCAAAGAAACTATAAAATTTAGGTAGTTTCAGTTCTCTCTTATTCATATTATATAATACACTCACTCTCCTTTAAGCCTTTTCCTTTTCTTCCATGCAATTTACTTTCATATACACATCATCATTAATGACTCCTTTGTATTATTACCCTGACTTCCTAGGGAGCTTAAATAAATGTGTTTAACTTAAAATTTATCAAAAATATTATAGTCTCACTTATTTTTCACACTCATAGCTACCTTTTTCTCATTAGGTGTTAACTTTATGTGTGATTAGGGCCCATAATTAATTTGATTTCTAAATTATTCCAACTTTCTAACTTTACTTAGGCTCTCTTTCTATAAGTCATTCATCAAGAAGCCATTCAAAAGGTTGCTGTCAGTTCTGCTTGAAAGTAATTGCAAGTAGCCATCCTTTTTGAGGGTTGCCCATGGGATCAGCTCTTCAAAGGACATAAATCTATTTAAGTTTTATAAACACAAATCAAGATCAATAATGCAATAACTAACTAGGTCTCATATTGTGACTGTTTACTGTTTAATGAATGTTTGGTTGGTAAACCTCTTCAATGAGTTTTTCTGATCCAACTTCAGAGGTGGGCCTGGGAGTCCCTGGAGCTAGATGTGTGTACTTGACCCATCTCTACACACACGTCATTTGTGTGGCAGGAAGTTAAAAGCATAAGGTCTGGGCTCTGTCCTTTTGGATCAGTGATAATGATGATAATGATATTGATTCCTCCTGTGTTCTGTGTGTGCTAATAAATGGCATGAATACATTTTATTATAGAATAAGACAATAGTATAATAAAACATTATGGTATTATAATCTACAATCTGCTATAATATAATAATAATACATTTCAGTATATTATTATCCCCTATTGCAAATGAGGAAACAGACTCAGAATATTGCTATAATAGTATATGGTTAAAACCATTATGACCCCAAAGTCCAGGCTCTTGGGTATAAAGTCTTTCAAGCTTGAGGAAATTAGTTTATTTCTATGGGCTTTTCCTCTCCCACATCTGTAAAATAAGAAAAAAATATTGAATGACTTTCAGCTCTAAAGTCTATGCTGCATTTTTTACAACATGAAGAGTTAGCACTTGGCTATAAGAACATGGA